TGATTAAAGGTAATAAAAAATAAATATTTATTTAAATTTTATAAAATAATTTAATTTTTTAAAAAATATTAGACCTTTTCTAATAGTATTCCACTTTTGTTCTATTTCACAAATCAAATTATAAAATAACTATTCGTTGCAGTCACACCGTGACGCTCACGACTTTGGATGCTTTCATAACTTGAACTTCTAGGGTGTGGAAAATTTCGCTGGTCCCAAAAAAATGTCAATAAGAGGAAGAAAGAGAAACAATAAATGACCCAAATATTGACAGAGATGACAATGACTTGTGTAGTTTCATGGAAAGATAGACTACTTTACCTTGCATCTATTGGATCCGCGTAGGACGATTACAGATTGCTGACATAAAATACTCATTCATTTGGATAGATTAATTTTGTAAGAAGTTTGAAAGTAATCTTAATATTATTTTTCAACAAAAAAAAAAAGAAATTTCACTCTAGAAATTTCCCAGCACTTTCCACTTTAAAGTCACACCCTGAAGCTTTAGATTCTTTGTTGCCTTCATATCTTGAATCTCTAGAATCTGGAAAACTTTGCTTACCAAAATCAATCAATTAACAAAAAGAGGGGAAAAAAAAGAAAGAAAAATTCAAATGTATTTTCTCGAAATGTTAGAAATAATATTGAGAGAGTTTTGAGCTACTAATGTGGCTTCCTGGAAAGAGACTGAGTTTGGCAGTCAATGGTTGGTCCAGTCAGCCAAATACAACCACATTCAGCCCACAAATTAAACATCAATGTTCATTGGTTGATTTTTTGAAGATATCTGAATAATTTTATGGTAAATCTGATGGCATATATTGGGTAGAACCTCAAGATCCCTGAAATTTTCTCTATAATTTGTTTTTCTTGCATGCCTTCACTCTTGCTTTCATAATAAAAGGTTTGTTTGTTTAGTTTTTTTCTTTTTAAATGCTCTTAAATTAATGTATTATTTCATTTAACACATCTTTAAAATAATTTATTCAACAATTGACTGTTTTATCGGTGAATTCCGACAAGATTGTAATATTAATCGATTTCTTTTTGTACTTCAGGTCACGAGAGAAAATGGTAACGGAATCTTCTAGAATACTGTTTCTCATCTGCTTCTTTCCGTGGCTCACATACCTTGTTACTCTTACGTTTGCCGTTGACCGTTTCTTCACGTTCAGCTGCGTGCACAGACAGGGAACTACACAGCTAACAGTGCCTACGAACGCGACCTCAATGGCCTCTTCAACGAAATCTCCTCCATTACAAAATTGAATTATGGGTTTTTTTGCAGTCAGTACTTCGGCGAAGTCGACGCCCTTGCACTTTGAAGAGGAGATATTTTTTTAAGTTTCCCATCGTTTTGGTGAGATTCAAAAATATCTTTACACTTTATTGAAAAAACTAAACTTCATGAGCTTTTTCGAAAAATCTCATCATCGAAACTTATGTTCGTGTATAAAATATTTTTATATACTATGACATTTAACAATGCAACCATGGTACATGATGCTCTTAATTCCAATATTTGTTTCTTATCCTCCTTAGAACCTATATATCTCTTTTCCGTGTATAATTATCATGAATAAATATTTTACATTTACTTTTTATTTATTTTATTCTGTTATGTATGTCATTACACAAATACTTATGAGATTTTTTAAAATTATATTTTTAAATCAAAATTTTTTTTATTGTTATTTTATTTTATAATTATTATTTATTTGTATGTATTGTATTCATTTTATATTGCTATGATTAACAAATTTATTGACACCATTAATCTCTTATTTTTTATTTATATATTTTGATTAATTGGTAAGTTTGTATATTTTTATTTAGTTAGAATTAGGAACAATTAAAATTCTGAGTTTGGACTCTCCCATCATATTGGTGAAGTCCTAAAAATATTTTATTTATAAATTTACTTTTTATTTATAAATATCTATTTGGAAAAACCTTTTTTTTTATAAACCAAATGATCATCTAAATTTATATATTTCTTCATATTCATACCTTTCTTTTTCCTCCTAGGATCTAATTTTATTATGAAACATTTAGCAAAATTTTCTTCCCCTATATGTTATTTAAACCTAGATTCATCACCATCATTTCTTAATCATTTGTTACATTTTGTTATTTATTATTATTTTATATATATATATATGTATATGCATATCTTTTAATTCACTAAGTCTACTTATCCATTATGTTAAATATTTTCATTTTTAGCTTTCATATATTTTACTTTTTCATATGCATAAATTCAAACAACTATAATAATTAATAAACAAGAAATTAATATACCACAACTTTAATATTTCAAACCCAATCCAAAATTCTTATGAGCATATCCATTACCTAATGGGTCCAACTTAACCCACTGCTCTAAATGGGTTCAAGCTCCACTGGGCTTCAAGAATTGCCTCCGGTCCGGTCCCGTTCCAAATGGACAACTCCAAGAAGGCACCAACTTGTGAAGAAAAAGAAAATAATTCCCTCTTCAACTATGCAACGCTGTTCAAGACTCCCAAGCTAACTATATAAGCTATTTTTCTTTCCTTTCTTGACTTCTCTCCTTCCTCTTCTCTCTCTTAAAAACTGGTTACTCTCCCTTCTCTCGAAAAGCTCCCATTTTTAGCTCTTTCATCAGCTCTCTCTCTCCATGATTTCAGCCCCGGTCTTTCTTTTTCACTTTCAACACCAGTAATACTACTCTTCTTGGCTCTCTCATAAACCGGTGGCTTTATCCCTCCTAAGCTCTCTCACAAACCGGCGGCACAGCCTCTTCAAACCGGCAGCCCTCTCACAAACAGTCGGCATTTTGTTTCTTTTTTTTTTGTATGGGTGCTTAGCTGCTAAAAAATAAGGAATTTCACGATTTTTTTGCTGTTTAATGGGATCCCTTTTTTTTTGGTTCTTCCTCTCTTCGGTCTGAGGCCCTTTTAAGATCTGGATTGTCTAAATTTTTGGACAATCCAGAGCATGATTTCACAATACTCTGGCATTGAAGGGGGTTTGGTGGCCGGAGCTGACCACTCCTTTCATGTTAGCTGTCAATCCGGGGCATTAAATGCCCCGTAATGATGGACTGGCGTGTGCTCGGTCCCTTCCCGTTGGCCCTTTTTCTTCTTTTTTATATCATTATTTTTATTAATTTTAAATTTTTATATATTTTATTTATTATTTATTATTATTTAAAAAATGTGTCTACAGTTGCTTCCCAAAATTAATCCATTAACAAAAAGAGAAAGACAAGAATTCAAATATATTTTCTCGAAATGCTGGACATAATATTTGCCAGAGATGTGAGTAACTAGTGTGGTTTCCTGGAAAGATAGACTACTTTGTCTTTCTTTAGTTTGTCAGTCATAGGTAGGACTGGTCAGCGAAATACAGCCCCCTTTAGCGAACCTAATTCACTGTTCATTGCTTTATTTTTTCAAGATATCTGTAAAGTTTTATGCTAAATCTGATGAAGGATAATACATATACATATATATATATATAAGGTCGAACCTCAAGATTCCTGAATTTTTCTCTATAATTTTTTTTTCGTGCATGCCTCACTCTTGCTTTCATAATAGAAGGTTTGTTATTTTCTAAATGCTCCCAAATTATAGTTATTATTTCGTTTAACTCATCTTTAAAAAATTATTCAACAATTTACTGTTTAGTAGGTGAATTCCGGTTAAGATAGTACTATTAATCGATTTCTATATGTACTGCAGGTCAGCCGAGACAATGGTAACGGTATCTACAAGAATACTGTTTCTGATCTTCTTCTATCCAGGGCTCACATACCTTGTTACTCTTACCTTTGCCCTTGATCTTTACTTCCTGTCTAGATGCATAAATTCTACCGGGTACTACACAGCTAATAGTGCCTACGAACGCGACCTCAGTAGCCTCTTCAACGAAATCTCCTCAACTACAAAATTGAACTATGGGTTTTTTCACAGTCAATCTGGCGAAGTCAACGTCATTGCGCTTTGCAGGGGAGATGTTAAGCTAAATGTTTGCACTAGTTGTCTCAATGACACTATTTCTGAGATGAAGCAGCGTTGTCCTCGCTACAAAGAGGCCATTGGATGGTCTGAGTTTTGTATGTTGCGCTACTCAAGCAGAAACATCTCTAAAAGAGTGGAACTTTCTCCTCAAGCTTGTCTACTTAATACACAGTCTGCAGTGGAAGGTAATCCGTATGAGATACTTGATGTATTGAAGGTGTTGTTGGATTACCTGCGTAGTCGAGCAGCAGCGGGCGGTACTCTTCTCAAGTATGCAACAAGTAGCTCATCGCTGGGTGCCCAATTGTGGTATGCTCTTGTGCAGTGCACTCCTGATTTGTCTGAGCAAGACTGCAATGATTGTCTAAAAGCGGCGACGGATGGGATTACATCGTGCTGCGTTGGGCAGAGGGGATGCCGAGTTCTCAAACCCAGCTGTAACTTAAGGTTTGAGTCATACCCCTTTTTTGATTCTGGACCAGCTGTTCTGCTCCCGCAATCACCCTCGACTGATGCCGCACCTGCTCTTCCGCCCCCGCAATCACCCCGATCAAAGAAAGGTAGACAATCGACGTGCTTTTTCAATTCTGTGTCAGGATTTCTAGTTAGTAATGGTAGATTACAGAATATAAAAATTTATTGTGACATTTATATTGCTTCTTCTATTTTTAATTATTTGTCTTTTTGAAATGGCACACTGTTTTAGAGATAAAAATGATGTATTTTTCTTCGTTCCTTAGACAAATTTTACTCTTGAGGTTGACATAAAAGTTACAGGATTTCACTTAAAGTTAGTGTTTCAATAAAAAATAACCATTAAAAAATGTTTTTTCTTTTTAATTTTGAAAAGAGAATATATTATTTTAAAACATCGCAAATAATAAAATAAATATTTAATTTGAAATGAAGAGAGTAATTATTTCTTTTAAGTTTCATATTCACAAATTAATCATTTTTATCTAATACTCTCTCTGACTTGTAAATATTATTTGTTTATATACCTCTAATTGTTACAAATTAATGTCTTCCCTGAAAAGTTAAAGAAAATTCACATTTACTTTTCCTTATTACCACTTAATTATAAATACCTAATTTCTTCTCTTTTTTCAAGCTAAGGGTAGTCTGGGACAGAAAATTTAAAATAAATTAAAGTAAATATAAACGAATGCAAATTCTTTGTCTCACTTCTTATCTCTTTCTCTATTTTTTTTCCCTTTTACCACTGGAGAGAAAGAAAAAAGAATATAATGTAGGATGGTCAGTTGTGTTTCTTTTGTAATTAATGATAAGAAAAACGTTATATTTAATCCACAAGCACTTAATTTGCGATTTTTTGCATACACAAAAGTGCACATTCATTATAACTGTCGTCTTCTAAAGAAAGACTCTGTTAAGGGGTGCTTATGATTGATGGATAACAATGAGCTCAATTGAGACTTTGTTCCCTTAATCAGAAGAAAATAAACAAAAAAAATCAGTCTGGATTCCTCTTGGTGCGAGTTTATCAGCGACTCTTGGGCTAGCTCTCTTTTCTGCATGTGGTTTCTTCATATGGAGGAGGAGAAACATTCAAGGTAGGCATTGGATTATTCTTGGCTTGGCATTACAAATTTGTATTATATTGTTATGCCAATCACATTTTATTTTGTTACAGAGGATAATGAAAATAGTCAAGAAGTTCAATTACTTGACCTGGTACGTGGAAGTATTCTTGATGAGCACTCAAGCGAAAATTTTAATGGAGAAAATGTATCGAGATCTCAAGAATTTCCTTCAATTCAATTGAATATTTTACATGTTGCGACAAATAGCTTTTGTGATGAAAATAAGCTCGGAGAGGGTGGATTTGGCCCTGTATACAAGGTAATTATGATTAAGAATTTTTATAAGAGTTAATGCATGATTAGAGATTGATATGAGTGAAACAAAGTATGTTAATATTTCAAAGTCATGAGACATTTTGCAGTCTGACATGTGATATTTTACATAAATTAATAAATTCTTTCAGGGTACACTAGCAGATGGTAAAGCAATTGCAGTTAAAAGGCTCTCAAGAACTTCCGGACAAGGGCTGCTTGAGTTTAAGAATGAAGTCATGTTAATTGCCAAATTACAACATAGAAATCTGGTGAGGCTCTTAGGATGTTGCTTAGAGAAAAACGAAAAGTTGCTGGTATACGAATTCATGCCCAACAGAAGCCTTGATGTTTTCCTGTTTGGTTTGATCCTTCAACCTTTAACTAACAACGTTACTTTGTAAGTGAAATAAGGGTGAAAAAGTTAATTGGTCCACCTTGCTTTTTTTTTTCCGGCCTGATATCAGATTCGAGCATGGCTATGGAACTGTCTTGGCAAAAACGATTCAATATTATTAAAGGAGTCGCTCGAGGTATCTTGTATTTGCACGAAGATTCTCGTCTTAGAATTATCCACAGAGATCTTAAAGCGAGTAATGTTTTACTTGATCACGAGATGAATCCCAAAATTTCAGATTTTGGTATGGCAAGAATTTTTGGTGGGGATCAAAATCAAGCAAATACAAACAGAGTAGTTGGAACATAGTAAGTCCACATATTCTTCCCAACTCATTGCCTCTTAAGCTTATAGGGTTATATACCTTTTGTAGTTTGACAATTTTTTTTTTATTATGCATTTTTGACTTATCATCCCTCTTGATTACAACCAAGCCACAAACAATTCAACACTGAGGCATCTAATTGATTCATAATAGTACAATGTTGAATGTTCATATTTAATATTGACTCTCTGTTTCTAAAAGTTTCTATGCATCATCTAATTCTATCTTTTATCATTTTTTCATTGCTTCTTATGAACAAAAATAGTGGATACATGGCACCTGAATATGCAATGGAAGGACTCTTTTCTATCAAATCTGATGTTTTCAGTTTTGGAGTCCTTTTGCTGGAGATCATAAGTGGAAAAAGGAATAATGGTTTTCATGTTTCAGAGCGTGGTGAAAGCCTCTTGACTTTTGTACGTTTTTATCCTCTCTTTCTCTTCAAAGATTAGATAAATTTCCGTCATGCTAATTTTAAGGAACAATTGTAGGCATGGAAACTATGGTCTAAAGGTCAAGGAATGGAGCTAATGGATCAGCTCCTTGTGCAGTCGTGTGTTGCCGCTGAGGTGCTTAAATGTATCCATATTGGGCTATTATGCGTCCAAGAAGACCCAGCAGACAGACCCAGCATGTCATCTGTGGTTGTCATGTTAGGGAGCGAGACCATAACACTTCCCCGACCAGCAGAACCTGCGTTTTCTGTTGGACGTGTTGTTGCAGAACCAATTGAACCCACTTCAAATGATAGAAACTGTTCTATTAATGAGGTTACAATTTCAAAATTGTCACCTCGATGATTGATTAGTGGGTGCATATATATTCCTTTATTTCTTCTTCTTTCTTTTTTGGATATATGAAACAATGGGTGATTGATTGCTACACTATTTCAACAAAACAATGGGGGATGTTATTTCATTTTATCCATTCTTCATCTTCATAGATGGGGTATCCAAACAGCTTGTTGGGACAAAAGTTTACTCTGCTATCTGAGCTAGTGAGCTTTCCTACAAAAAAAATCTGAATCCATAAGTCATTAATTTTGCAAAATTTCATCAGTACAGAAAATTTGTATAAGAAGAGTTGCCAACTAAAGAAATAAGAATGGACTTGGATCATGGGTAAATGCTATTAAGCGTATATTCATATTAATGCCTAAGACTCCACTGATGTTAAATTAACAAAGCCTGTAGCCCTTGTGACAAATAGGAACACTAGCTTTCAAACAGAGGTGCAGAGCAATCTAAGTTCTAAACTAAACCCGTTCCAATTAAGGAGCACTTTAACTTTAAACAGAACAAAAAACTTGGAGAATGGGATTTCCTAATGATCAGCGCGGGGCTGTGATTTCAAGGGTACAAATTACATGACTGGTTGTGTTGACTTTGTCCTATTTTTCCTCATTAATAGAAACTCTTTAATTTGTTTCTGGCCAAAAACAAAACCTCTAAAGAGATAAGGAGGCTAGACTTTTTTGCTTCGACTTTAACAGTTGGACTCATAATATCCCAACTCTTGAAATAAAGAAAAAAAAAAAGAATAACAATGTCACAAAGACAATAGCATTGCCAAGCCTAAGACTAACGGAGAAGAGAGGAAACGAAAACAGATAATGACCAATGCCTTTCATCAAAATCTGCCTTGTGCTTGTGTTTCTCTCTATCTTCAGCTTCACAGTTTTAGCTGTCAGATCTTCAGCCTAAACCCAAAAACTGAAAAGAAATATTGTCAAGCAGGAACTTATATTTTTTAATTGTACTCAAACATTTGATTCATTGATTAATATATAATCTCTTATTTATAAAATAGAGTTCGAATTCTCTTCCTTTAAGTATATATAAGAAAAACTAATTCTCCCTGCCTTCACCGGGCCTACTACTCTTGAGTTAGAAATTCAAAGAGTCCTTTACTTTTCCACCCAATTTTAGGTAAAAATTCAATGTCTTATGCATTAATTCAATGGCGTTAACCTGTTCTTTTCTTATAATTAAGCCTAATTAGTACTACTATACATTATCCTCTTGTTATTATATTTGCTTATTTTTATAAATAGAAATGATCTTTTTCTCAACGCTTTATTTTTGTTTGCTTGATTTGGAATATTTGCCCACACCACTACTCAGGCCAATCAATCTTTTCTACGAAAAAGAAAAGAAATTAAAGAAAAGAAAGAGATATTCTCAACCGTCAAAATCTCAAAAACTTTCTTCGCAAAAGAGTGGCCAGACTTTTTTGCTTGACTTGAAACAGTTGAAATCATAATATCTCAGTTCTCGAATTAAAAGAAAGAGAAAAAAAAAAAACAATGTAACAGAAGACAATATCATTTCCCCTACTATTAACTATTAGGAGGCGCAGAAAAATAATACAATCTTGTCTGGATATTTACCATTCCAAGCCCACGGCAGCAAAAGCTGATCATGACCAATGCCTTGTATCAAAATCTGCCTTGTGCTTGTGTTTCTGTCTATCTTCTTCTTCACCAGTTTACCCTAAACCCGAAAACCGAAAAGAAATATGGTCAGTCATGAACTAATCTCCTTGCCTTTACTTTTTGCCCAAGAGGCACTAGCTAGGTAATTTCTATCTAGCATATATTTACATGCCTAAGACTCCAATGAGTTTAAGTTAACATAGCCCGTAAGGAGCGCTAACTTTCAAATAGAAGGCAGGCGGAGCAATCTAAGTTCAAAATGTAGTCAGAGACGCTTGTTCCAATTACACAACTTCATAAACAACAATGGAAAAGAGGAGAAGTACAAAAAAGAAAAAATAGTCATGTCATGATCCATGAGCCCACAAGGAAGATAAAATTCTGTGGGTAAGGGAGATGACACTTCTTCGTGCTTTGGCTTTAGAAGACAAAATATGACTATTCTCTACCATCTAAAAACGAGGAGGAACATTTTCGTCAACTCCCTTCTAATTTATGTGGGTAGCACATTAAAGAATATACTATATCTTCATAAGGTTTGATCTTATCTATATCTTTTGGTTCAAATTAAGTGCATATTTTAAGATATTATTTTTTAAAAATATTCTCACGTACATTAATGTATAATCATTTTTATTGTAAATAGTCATAAGAATAATTAATTTTAGATTATTCGTTAGTAAAATTCTTGATAAAAAAAATTTATAATCTTAATCATTAATTTTGAAGATGAAGTAATTTACGTACTATATTTTTAAATTATTTTTGTTTATATTTCATATATTAGTATAGATTTTTAGGTAGAATGTTCAACTATTGGCATGCAAGTCAAGGAAATTAATTTCATGTTAGAAATTTCCAACACTTTTTCATTTATACGACCACATCATGAAGCTTGGGATTATTTGTTGCGTTCACATGTTGAATCTCTAGAATGTTGGAAAATTTTGCTTGCCCAAAAAATCAATAACCAATAAGAGGAAGAAATCGATGACGATTTGAGGAATCCAAATATCATTTCCAGCCGATTGTGGGTATAAAATTCAAAGTCTTCTACGTGAATTCAATGGCCTTAACCTGACTTTTTCTTATAATTAAGCCTCATTAATATTACTATAATTAACCTCTTGTTATTTTATTTGCTCATTTTTATAAATTGAAATTATTTTTCTCTCAGCAATTTATGTATGATTTAAGCTATATCTGATTGTTACTTTCGTTATCTTTTCTTGCTTTTGAAACTAAATAAAAATGCTCACATTGACTACAAATAAAATAATATTTTTTAAGAGTGCTACATAAAAATACCTAACTTTTTTAGTAAAAAAATGCGTGAGTCAACTTTTATATAAATAAATTATACTATTATTTTTTATATTATGTTTTTGATTATTTATGCATTTTGATTTCGGATTTATAGTAAAATTAGCCACTAAATGAGTAACGTCTTGAAGTGGAGATGTTATTCACCCAGAAGAGGCCCTTTTCCATTATATTAAAAAAAAAATAGCAAGACCTTCGGTTCATATCTCCATGACCCTTTTCTTTTACATCTTCCTTTGCTTGCTCCGTCTGAACAGTGAAGCAGCAGTCAATTTCTTCCCTAACGTCTGCCCTCCAGAAACGACTACTTACACTCGGAGCAGCACTTATGAGCGGAACGTTAATTTACTTCTCTCGTCTTTTTAATAAGCATATCATCAACATATAAGCTAATAATCACACATTCACTTTCAACCGTTTTTGTGTACACACATTTATTAACTCCAACAGTAAAAAATCCATTACTAACAAGAACTTGATCAAATTTTTCATGTCATTGTTTTGGTGCTTGTTTCAAG